AGGCCACGGGGAAATGCCCTTTTTTAAAAAAGAGAAAAAAGGAGGGGGGTAAAAAAACCCGCTCCCTGGAAGTATGGGGCATTAGGAAACGCAGCCGGCAGGCGATAGCCTCGGACTTGCTGTGCTCGGTTACAAGGGACTCTCGGGGCTTGGAGTGGGAGCTGTAAGGGACGAGGAGGGGGATCCCCCCGGGCACCCTGCAAGCTGCAGTCCTGGGGATCCTGGGGGACTCGCATCAGCTAAAGATACTCGCTGCGTGGTAGTCTTTGCTACGAGATACGCGTCTTGTGCTAGAGCTTGCCTTTTATAATCAGCTGGCATGATGCATATAGCACTTGTCAGAAACATTTCCTAGTTTAGAATCTGCTGTTGTCTTTCTGGGTGTCTTACAGCCCGGTTACAGCAGCTTGTGCAATATGGGCATCTCATCTACCCTACCGACAATGCAAGGCTCTGTGTGGGTCTCCTAACTACAAAGCAGGAACTCAGGAAAGTAGTAAAGGCTGGAAAAGGGGTCTGGGCAGAAACTTAACCAACCACTAAATTGAGAGAGAAGCTTGGGGATAAGTTTCCACTATTTTGGTAGTTTCTTGTTCAGTATTAGGAGAAAGTGGCTCTCACTTATTCTTATGACAACAGGATATCAAAAGGTGATTGGGTTTTTCTCAGAATAAGCAAAATAGCAAACTACACCTTTCCCTTCATCCCTTGAGTTTTTAACTTTGTGCAATGTAATGAATGGTGCTTGAAGAAATGTTTTCTCAGGCTGACCTATGCAAAGACTGGCAGAAGTGGAAGGTTAGCTCATTAATTTGTGTGGTCATGAGTGAAGCTGGAAATATTTAGAAATTATTTGCCTCTTCTGAGGAGGGAGATAAGAATAACTTTGAAACCAGTCTTTAAAAAGTTTCCAAAAAGGAAATGTAATGCATGAAAGGAGATGCCTTTGCTAGCGAGGTGAGGAATCACAGGAAAGAAACTTAAAAGAGCAAAACTGATTTAGCAAAGAGGGCCAAATAAGCCTTCATTTAGAAACTGGAATTTTAAATAAGAAGCCAGAAGAGAACTGCCAGTTAATACCAAGCTAATTCTGGAAGAAGTGGTGATTGTGGTAGAATGGGCTGAACTGCAGAAAATGCAAGTCGTCTTGAAAGAACCTAATGAAAATTGGTGCAACAACTGGCAAAAAGATGCATTTTAAGTGTATGGGAGAAGAAAACATGAGGCATTTTTTTTTTTAAAAGTGCCTCTTCCAAGGGCAGCAATCAGTCAGTACAACATGGGGAGCCCAGGACTGATGGTGTCTACTAGCCAGTACAAAAGTTTTCACCTTTAAATGAGACAGAAGTGCATGCTGAGGGCATGTCCTTTCAACAAAAAGGAATTATTTGGGAGAGTTCCAGTGAAAGACAAACAGGTCTGTTCACCTCCTGAGAATTTTGTTCACAGGGATTATAATGAGCAGTTTTGAAATGCTTGTTTTTGGTTTTAGAAAGCCCAATATTTTTGATACTGATTCTAGGTAGAACTGATGGTAATTTGGGTTAGTATAGTAACACAGCCAAGGAGGAAATTTTGCTTGGAGTGCTGCAGAGGAACAGCTTATGCTGGTGACCAGTATGAATAGTCCTAACAGCTGTTTGGGTTTTTTCATTTATATAGAAAATGAGGTTTGTCAAAGTAGTTTTCAGAATATTGCTATTGTGAAGATGGGTAACACTGGCAAAATGGATAATAGGAATGAACGTATAGAAAAGGAAATTACTCATCCAGTATGGAAGCAGGCCTGTGATGTAAAGTGATCCCCTCAAGTAAGCATTATCATTATCCCAATGTGGAGATAGTTTGTCAGCAATAAATACTTTAAGGAATATGTTCCCTTTGGTTCGGTGCTTAATGGCTGGAGAATAGCAAATGTATGTATTTATAAGGGGGAAAGCATTGCAAGTACTGACCGACCTTTTCATTTGTCCTTCCTTTCCTGAAGTTTATATTTCTCTTTACAAAGTAAGTCAGCTGACCTACAAAAATAGATATCTAACAAGCCTAGTATGACTCTCCATTGGTAAAACTAGCCTATGTTTTATCTTTTGTATGTTATCACCTTTAACATCTGCTGCTTGATCTGTTTCTCTGCAGAAGGCTGGAGGCTCCCTGGAGTTTTAGGAGAAAAAAATCCATTTAAAAAACAAACAAGGGAATATTAGTTGCCCATGAATACATTTAGGCTGTAAGCTAAAAGACTTGCAGAGCCTGACTTAGCTCATGGTCCCTTATAAAAGAGGAAATGGAACAAGAAATCTCCCTGGCTGGTGTCAGATACCTGTAGGAGCATACAACAGGGAAGCTGATGCAAGCAGTCAGTCCTTTACCTGGTTTATCTTCTGACTTCCTATTTGTGCTTGTTCTATTTTTCAGAAATAGTGAATGTGGTTTAGAGTAGTAGATATCTCCCATGTTTAAGTTTCTCCAAAGCAATAGATGTATTTCTGATTTTATTTTGACTGCAAAAATCTCCCTGTGACTCTCCAATGAAGAATGAACCCAATGAATTAAGACCTGGATGACAGACCATCCTCAGACAGTTGTCAAAAGGAAATTGTCATTCAACAGCTGTGTTTTTAGAAGTATTTTGCAAGAGGCCTGATGGTATTAACCATTTTCAGTAACGATCTAGAAAATATTAAATGACTGATTTACAGATGGAGTTTGTCAGCACTGCGAGAACCAGTGCAAATACCAATTAAGTCAGAGGAAAAAGTCTAAGGAAGCCAAGAGCGGTTGGAAACATAAAGAGCAAATAATAGGCTTCAAGCCAGCTTGTGAAAGCACAGCTAATGCAACTTTGGGGAAGAAAGCTGGACATTCAAATACTGAATAGAGCGGAAGAAAGGTTTCTGGACAATGTTGTCTGGTAAAAATATGCATATGTATTGATAGCCATAACTCATAGCTTTTTTGCTATCTTAAATTGTATATACAATGGATGCTTTGCATGGCAGAGGGGGAGAGCTGTTCTCTAGTCAGCTATGTTGTGACCGCTGCAACCTGTTTGCCTTCTGGCTTGAAAACTTAGAAAACATTCAAGGAATTCCTAGAAGAAAAGGAATAAATTTGAGAGGCTGGACACCTGAGAAGGGAAAGGTTACAAACACTGTAATTGATAGCTCTTGTGGCCTTTCCTAAACTGCATAGCTGGCTTAGCCTGGTGCAGAAACATCAGGCTTGGTCACATTCCTTCCTTTTTTCCCAAGACGCCTTTGTGCCTGGAGTACTGGTGGGCTTGAGAGCAATGAGCAAACTCATTTTTGGAGTTACCCGCCCCCTCACACACTATGCACACTAGGTATTTTGTACCTTCGCATTAGTCCCAATTCTCTTGCTGTGCACAGACTGTGTACCATGGAGTTGCATTCAATTTGTCTGGAGCTGAGATGAGTCAGGTTCTCAGCTTGGAACTGACTTGTTTAAGGCTGCTGGGATGAAGAGCGGGGGATGTGTTTAAGGACAGAAATGCTTAGGCTGAACTTTAGGTCAAACTAGAATCATCGTTCTGAGGTGACGCTGGGGAGCCAGCCCCTAAGGGATTACTGTTGCTTGAGGCCGATGAAACTGGCCCATAATGTTCTACAGTATATTCCCAAGAGAAACACCTAGGCTGGTTCTCTAGAAGATAAGTTAGAGGGGACCACTTATATTGTTCTTTCTTAGTTCTCACATCTAGCTGATAAAAAGCTAACTTCATCTCTCAGCTCGCTGCAATCTTCACTTGAGTATAGTCGAAGGTTTATGGCAGGCACTGCATCACAGTTTCTTATCCACGGAGCTGTTGCCAACGTGCATGTGTGGGGAGCAGCAGAGCCAAAGGCTCCACTTCCACACTTGGTTTAACTTGACATCAGTCTATGCTGCTAAAAGAGGGGAGAG